AATTGGGCATCTGAGTTTTAGTACTGGCTCTTTTGATCTTGACCAAGTCATTAGCCTTGTTAGGTCTTAGTTTCCTCTCTGTTAAATGGTAAGTTTGGATTGTACAATTTAAGGTCTCTTCTACCTTTAAATTCTCAAATAATAGAGATTTGGATATGGTATTGACTATTGGAATTTTAGGCATTTTAATCTCCATATCCCTATTTTTATTTTCACAGTTGCTTTAGGTAAAGGGAATGTGTGTATTATGTATGTATGTACATATGTATGTATGTATATATAGTGCATTCTAAATTTACGTGAGAATAAAATATTTTGCAAGTATCTTTTTAGATTAGTGCCGTCTGTTATGGAAGGGTTCTGTACTATCTAGTCTGAACTCCAGAGTGACAGAAAAATTTCCTTTCCATTTTCATGGTCTTATGGGGAACCTGCAGGCCTCAAGGCCACATGTGGCCCTCTAGATCCCCAAGTGCAGCCCCTCAACTGAATCCAAATTTCACAGAACAAATTTCTTTTAATAAGGAATCTTATTAATCCCTTTTAATAAAGGGATTTGTTCTGTGAAATTTGGGTTCAGTCAAAAGGCCACACTCAAGGATCCAGAAGGCCACAAAATTATTTGAAACAACATTTTATCCTTTGACTAAATATTAATATTTAAATATTCAGTTTTTTCCCTCAGGCTGTTATATAGGGGAAACCAATGCTTCCAGTTTTGAATCTGTTAAAGCTATTGCTTGTGTCATTATCTTGAAATTTTTAGCTTATCCATGCACTATGGCCTCTCCTTTTCTCATTTGAAGAGTCCCAGCATCAAATCAGGGTTTCCAAAGAGAAACAAAAACAGGAAAACAGCTATAATTATACTTCATTTTGAAGATCATTGTTGTAAAATGTCAAAAAAAGTTTTTGGTAAAATATTTTCAATTGTGTAGTGAAAATATTTAAGACTATGTGTTTAGCTCTGAGAAACAAGCCTTACCTGGGTTTTCTGTGTGTCAGATCTACTTATTTGTCACAGAGTAGGAAGAGTTTAAAGGTTACAAGGAAAGATAAGGAGTAGGTGAATATGATTAAGAGGCTTCTAAGAAGAAAGTGAGTTTTGAGCATGTTTTTGAAAGAAGTATTATACGCAAGTTAAAACATTTGATTGCTTTGTTAAATTTTTATTTCTTATATGTTAAACCATAGAAAAAAACTAAGGATGGTTGGTTGCCTGCAATTTAAGATATAGAAACAGAAATTCGGGGAATAAAAGATACTTCCTGTCTTTAAATTCTTAACTGTTAGGGTATAGTAGTTAGTCCCGTATACTGTGAATGATACCAAGCAACTCTCTTTTGGTATCAGGAGTCAGAAAATGTATGCAACAGATAAAACCGAAAGTTTTAAGAGCATAAAATGTAATCCAGTTGAGTATATATATTTCACATCTTATAATTTAAAATGTTCGACTTGGTACGAACATGAGGTACTTGGCTGCTAGGCTGATCTCTGTGTCAAAATACTGTATTTTCAGAAATACAGGTTTGTGGAGCCACCTAAAATCAAAGTATAAGGTTTTTGTGAGAAAATTCCTAGAAAATGTATTTTGATAAATGCAGAAGAAGCACATGGCAATCATAGAACATTTTTTTTTAAATTAAGGAGGGGAGCCAGGCGTAGCGGTGCATTCCTGTAGTCCCAGCTACTCAGGAGGCTAGGGCAGGAGGATTATTGCTTGAGCCCAGGAGTTTGAGGCTGCATTGAGCTATGGTCACACCACTGTACTGTAGCCTGGCCAAAAGAGCAAACCCTGTCTCCAAAAATTTAAGGAAGGGACTTCGTATTTAGTTCTTAGAATGTCAGATTCTATTCAGAAATTATGAAAAGAAAAAAGACTTACCCTGTACATTTTTGCATAAGTGTTTAAAGATTTTTAAAATTTCATACAGTACCTTGAAGTTCATTTTTACTTATTTAACAAACACTTGTTTGCAGTTTTATTGTATATCATTTATTATTATAGATGCTTTACAAATATTAACTTATTAAATCCTCATAGCAACCTTAAATATTTTCATGTTTCACAAGAGGATAGTTTAAATGCTTTTACTAAATGCTCATTTTTTTTGTTGTTTATCTAACAAAGGTAAGTTAGGCAGCACACCTCATTTTGTTTAACATGAAGCTTGTAACCTCAGATTTTGTAATGAAAATTCACTACTGCTTAGTGGTTTCACTAAAATAAATTTGTGTTGCAAAGATTTAATCATTTTAGTGATGGACATTCTATAGGCAGATATTCTGTGTTATGTATGTTTATGATATAGGAAAAATAGAGACAAACAAATAAAAGTAAGCTTTTTTTCATGTCACAAGCATTTATTTTGTCTTTGAAGAGTACTATGGAACATTTGACAGCATATGGAGTTGAAAATGCATTTGGAATGATGATTATCTTTAAAAAGCATTAATGTATCATCTGTCCTTTTTATGGAACTTTGTTCTTATGCTTAGTGCAAATAGAGGTGAAATAAATCTACCTTACATTTGTAAGGAAGATGCTTTTACTTTTTTCAAAGTATTTCGTACCTTTATTATAAGATTGTTTTTCTGTTGGGTTCCTCTGTTTGAGGGCCTCTTTCATTTGCTTTAGTTTTAGGTTCTGAGATTGTGGAGGTTTTGTTGTTTGCCTGTGCCTTGTGATTCTCTCATAATGATAGGAAAAATTATACCAAGTTATCTCTTTGGTACATTTAATATGTATGAGGCTAGATAATTCTCTGGAATTACTCAGGTAGGCCCAAAACTTTATTCAAATAGGTGTCTTACTGAGCGTACCTGTACTTACCGTGTCCTCTATTCTACTTCCTGCTCAGTAAACAGTGTTGTCCATAAACTGTTTCTAACTTATCTAAAGGGTAATGTAACAGAAAACAAATATGTTGCATTTCATCTTGTTGGTGGAATCCATGGGTGGATTATGATTATTGGTCATATTCTGAATACTTTTTAAAAAATTATGCTCTATCTGTATTTATCTGTATTATTTGGAAGACACCAGGAAAAGTCATGAGTATAGATTGTGTTTCTCACATTTGAATTAAGCCTGATAGGCACATCTATGTAGTGTTACCCTTAAAAGACACTCAGTACATATTTGTTGATTAAATAATCTGCCACTAAATGGATTGTTTTGATATTCTCTCCACACCCTTTAGAACTCACCTGTTTTGCATGTCACTAGGACAAGTTAGAGGGCCAAAAGTATTTGAGTTAATGCTGAATGATTTAAGTGGAAAACAGCTGGTGGTGGCAAGGTGCACCACCCTGAAGGTGAGAGGAATGAAGAAACCTGATGGGGCCGCCTTCAAGTGGCCAGATTGAGCGAAGAGACTATGGTTTAATCTATGTGTCAAACCAAACACACTTTGCAGCATTAGTTGGTCCTGTCATCCAGGAGTATAGCCTGGATAGGGCGTAGAGATTGCCCAGGGGCCGGAGTCATTTTATTTTCTGTTTTGCATAGCCCAGATTTCATTTGGCCTTGGGCCAATGAGGGAGTAGTTTAATTTCATGGATGCTTTACACCCATTTTGAGAGTAATTTCTTTTAAATTGGTATTCTTTCTGTAATTAAATATAGAACACTGAATTTTGACACACACCCTCTCTTCTTCCCACCCGCTCTGTCATTTATTTGCCACCCACTCTCTTCCAATACTCTTTATCTTTTCATCCAGCTTTTTTTTTTTTTTTTTAAATACTGGGTCTTGCTCTGTCACCCAGGCTGGAATGCAGTGGGGCCATCATAACTCACAGCTCACTGCATGCAGCCTTGAACTCCTGGTCTCAAGAGATCCTCCGGCCTCAGCTTCCCAAAATGCTGGGATAACAAACATGAGCCACTATGCTACCTGTCCTCAATTTTCTTTTTACCTCTTTTCCCATCTATCAAATTATTTCTTATCTATGGCACTGTATAATCCTACAGAGCCTCAGATAAAAATGGCTCTGTAGTCAGTATGACCCATGGAAATAGATTAGTGATCATATGTCCTGTAAGTATTTGGGTGCAAAGACTTGTTCTAACACTACTACTATGTAACATTCTCTAAGATGTTGCCAGTTAGGGACAAAGGGAGACTTGCCCTCGGATTTCTTCTCCTCTTGGGTTGAAACTAGAGCAGGGTATTGTAGTTCTGCTCCTTGTAGTTGGAAACTTATTCCTTGGCTCAGTATCAGGGATATATCTTCCATTGCTAATTCCTCCCAAAAAGTGAAATACTGATTCTACCCCTCTCTCCTAGCCCTTTGTAAATTATCTCCTGTTTGAATCTCAGAGAAAGGTATTCACAGTTCCTTTACTGAAGTCCAGAGAGGGGAAGTTCCTGCTTCCTGGCTTCATGTGTCCGAAGGTCCTGAGACTCAAGTTACTGTTGCCACTTGCTTTTCGTTGTGTATCTGGCCTCTCTTTTATGGTATCTCTTGACTCTTATATTCTGCCATTATAGTCTGATGAAAAACTTATTACTATTCTTCTAGGCAGGTCTTCTAAAATGAACAAAACTTTTATTGTATTTTTTAAAAAAAATATTTTGTTTTTTGAGCAGTTTTAGGTTCATGACAGAATTTAGAGGAAGGTACAGAGATTTCCTTTATACTCCCTGCCCTCACACATGCACAGCCTTCCCCATTATCAACATGCTCCACTAGAGTGGTAAATTCATTATAATTGTATTTCTTTTTAATCATCCTTTGGAGAAGGCATACTTAATGGAAAAGAGCTACTAATTTGTCATTGGAAGTTTTGCATAGAGCCATCTAATGTCTCCACTTGCTCTTGTGGTTCAAAATGGGTAAGGGGAATTTCAGAATGGAGAAATTAGCTAGTAGGCAAACTTCTAACTAATTTTGGTGAAAGAATCCAAAAGCAGATTCCAAATGACAAGATAACTTTTGATACATCTTTTGTAAATTTTGGTTTTGATCTTAGTCTCTTATTTTTCTTCTCAGTTGCTTTAGGTCGTAACCAGCCTTTGAAAAAGGAGAAACCAAAATGGAAAAGTGATTATCCTATGACAGATGGACAACTGCGCAGCAAGAGGGACGAATTTTGGGATACTGCACCAGCTTTTGAAGGCCGTAAAGAGATTTGGGATGCCTTGAAGGCTGCTGCACATGCTTTTGAGAGCAATGATCACGAACTGGCACAAGCAATCATTGACGGTGCAAATATAACATTACCACATGGTAGGTTTGGTGTTCCTCAAGGACAAAGGGAACACGATCAGCTTGTTTCTAATGGCAAGAAACTGAACGTACAGGGTTTTTTCCCCCCTTCTATGCGTTATTCTAACTTTTTTTAAAAAAGTAGCAGCGTTATCATTCTTCCTTGTTTCTTTGTATATCTTTTAGCTGGAGACAGGTTTTACTTTATGTTTATATTTTTTATGTTTCTTTAATTCTTCTTAATCTCAGAAAAGAGAACATTTGATAATCTGTGTCTTGTAATTTCATGTGATTTAGTTCTCCATAAAGACCTCTTCTCTCCAGTCCCCATCTCACTGCCAGCCCCATCCCGCCACCATTCCCACCCTCACCCCATCCATCTATTGGAGCTTCCACTTCACTGGTTTCCTTCTATCCCTAGAGATACAGTCTCAGTTTAGATTTTATAAACTGTGGAGACTCAGAGGATGCTTCTTTAATCATTATACTTTCTCATCAAGCCTATTTTTAGCATAATGAACAAACCTGAACTTAAAAGTGAGTCCCACATGTTTTTAAGGACAGTTTTCTATGACTGTAGCCCTGAGCATTATTAGAAACTTCTCTCTTTTGCTTAGGAGTGTGACTCCAAGAATAACTGTAAACTTTGAATGTTTCTAGGGATGGACCCATGCACATACTGTTGGTCTCCTTGAGGAGAAAAATTTTCATGTTATACTGAGATTTAGATGGTAATTTTGTATTTACATTCTTCTTTTGATTTCTGTATTAGTACATTTATTTTTCTCTTTAGTTTTTCAAGTTAATATTTTTTCTAGGTTGTCTTTTCAGATCCATATAATAGATAACCACCTAAATTTCCTTGTAGTTTTCTGTGCATTATTAAACCTTCATTGCTTTTTTCCCCAGTATCTCCCTTTGTCTACATTCTTAGAGGAACAGTGCTTTTCATTATTTAATCATCTGCTTTATGTCCTTTGACTCTACCAGATAAAAGATATTTATCATACTATCCTTGCCAACTTTCCAAATCTCCATTAATTTTCTGATTAATTGTGCTTCCAAGAAACATTCCTCTTTTTATAGCTGTTTTTTATTATGAAAGCTTATTAGCATAGGCTTGTGATACTAACATTTATTGAGCACCCACTGATCACTTTTTCTACAAATATATAAAAATGGTTGCTTCTGCATTTGAAGAATTTATAATAGAATGGCCTTTCAGTATGACTCTTTAGTACTGATCTTCATGGATAGTCTCTAAATTCTGACATGTGATTGGGGCTTGGAAGGTAGGGATATTATCTTATTCCATTTACCTTTTGCAGTTCTGTAATTACTGTCTTCAAATACTACCTCTATATAATATAAAGGGAAGGGCCTTCCTTTTCAAATAGTCCTTCTCTTTTTGATGTTTATATTCTATATTTTTCAAGTAGAATATATGTTTGTATAGGCCTGCAGGTGGGTGGAAGAAGAGTCATGTATGTTTAATTGTCTTAATTTAGAAGCCTGAGATTCAGACCTTGGAACTTTGATTTTCTTACTTCGTATTTAGCATAGTTACCTACAGGAATATCTGATTGTGTTTTATAAATTGTGGCCTTGTTTAAAAGTTCATAGAGGCAAAGTAGCTCTGTTTTATGTAAGGCAGGGGCTCATTCATATCCTATTGGATCTAGGATCAGATCTCTAAAGACTCAAGTCCCTGGCTGGATGCAGTGGCTCTCACCTGTAATCCTAGCAGTCTGGGAAACCAAGGGAGGAGGATCACTTGAGGCCAGGAGTTCAAGACCAGCCTGGGCAACATAAGGAGACCTTGTCTCTACTAAATATAGAAAAATCAGCCAGGTGTGGTGGTACGTACCTGTAGTCCCAGCTACTTGGGAGGCTGAGGCAAGAGGATGACTTGAGCTCAGGAGTTTGAGGTTGCAGTGAACTATGATGATGCCACTGCACTCTAGCCTAGGTGACAGAGCAAGACTCTGTCTCAAAAAAAAAGACTCAAGTCCCTCATTTCTGCTTATCTGTATGAACTGTCAAGAAATGTAATGTCGCTAGCAGCTTTACCAACCAACAGATGAGGGAGAATTATTCTTGGAAATTTGAGAACATCGGATGGGCCTCTACTCCTCGTCAATGTTTAAGGAATATTTTCTGTGTAAACATGAAAGAATCAAGCTGACATCCGAGCTTTCTTCTTTCAAATCTTTGTAATAAGTTTCTGGGTATTAATATTATTGTCACTGGTACCCTTGATCAAATTCCTTTGTTTATATCTGAAGTTTATCAATGACATTTCTTGGGTGGACCTTTTAATTATGTTCTGTTATATACTGTTTAACTCACCATTACTTTATAACTGAGCTCTTTAATTGTATGTTTTTACCTAGACCTGTTCAGTGGTATTGCTGAAATTCTTTCCATCTATTTTTGTGTAATTACATATTGTATTGTTACCCCTTAAACATCCCAAAGTACTTCATATTTTGAGTTTAAACTATTGCAGACTTTGGCTATGTTTAGCTCAAGCATTGATATCAGATCTGGTTTTTACATCTGCCCCTAGTGTATTATTATATTTTTAGATATGTGACTTTGGGCAAATCATTTCTTCTCTGTAAGCCTCAATTCTCTAATGTGTAAAATATGGATAGTAACTATCTCATGGGATGGTTGTGTTGATTAAATGTGATGATAATACATGTAAATTGTTTACCAGGGTGCCTGGTATCCATAGAGCATTTAATAAATAGTAGTGCCGATGGTTTTATTTCCTGAACTCTGACATTAACAAGCAAATTCCCCACACCAAAATCTTGAATTAACAGATATTGATCATTTTCTGGGTGTATTGTCTACTGTTGACATCTTTCTTTGACTTTTAGGGAATTCTGCCCTTGGGCATATGCCTGATGGAATTTTGAGACTGGGTTGATTCAATAGTAAGAGTACTAGGAGATTTATTAACTGGACACCAAAGCATTGAAGACATACCCCATACTGTCACCTTCACCTACATCTCTCAGTAGTACCTGTAAGAGTATTGAGTAGATCATAGATTGTCAATCTGAAGAGATCCTGGGTCATATACTGCTTTCTAAGCTTTCTTCAATCTAATCTCTCTTTCTTGTTTTCATCTTATTCCCTCTGTCTTCTCTTCGCATTAATATAATGTTTTATTATTTCAACCTTATTCATACGTTATCTTTCCAACATAATAATATAAAAAGTTATTGAAAATGTGTAAATGTTATTTGTATGTCTTGTTATGTTATCTGTTCTGTTACTTTATATGCTCAAAAAAAGCAAGGATTGTGCCTTTTTTGATTTAAACCATATTTAGACTCTATCAGTGTTATCTTCCTCTGTTAATATCAATGATATAGTAATATCTTTAGTTTATTATTCTCAGATGGCAATTGGGGAGAGTTAAGAGGGAACTTGGTGGTATAACTACCTGGGAATTTTAGAGGTACGTGTACAGTATATTTTCACTTCAAAAATTATGACTCATTTTGAGAATGATATGAACATATGTATTGTAGTATATGCGATTCTGATACCTGGTATCCCTTTTCCATAGCTTTGCTGTCTTTTAAGAGCTTTATTTTTCATGATTTGCACAGCATCTTTTTACTCATTGTCTTAACATTCCTTAAAGAACTTGTTTCCTTTTTCTCGTTGGTTGCTGTTTTGCCATTACCTAGAAGTCCTAAAAACATTCTTAATACAGTATTTTACTACTGAAATCAGGTTATAGATTAAGAGATTTGCCCAAATAAGCATAAACAGGATAATAAAAAAAACAACAGGCAGTTTTATTATCGACACTTTTCAGAAGGTGGTGCATAATGACTATTCAGTAATTTTCTGTTAAAACTTGTTCAGAAACAGCAGTCATCTTGTGGAGGTGAATACTTAATGCTTTTTGTAATTTTTATGTAGGATATTTAAAAGGATTTTTCGAAGTGCCTGCCATCTTCCTTTACCTTCTAATTTTCTAGAAAGGTAGTTGTTTATTTCTTTGGCATCTGCAATTATCTCATTCTTAGAATGAGAGTATTTTTTCTAACATGTTTTCTATATCCCTGCAATTCAAATGTAAAGTCTCCCGTCTTTACTTTCCTTGAATAGATGCAGTATCTGCTCACTGTTACTCACTGTTACTCAAATAGAAACTTTTCTGTTTAGAAACAGAAATGTAAGGTGATTAATTCCAACTTTCTTCTTTCTTCTTCTTTTTTTTTTTTTTTTTTTT